CCAGACCCCCAAAGCCCAGTCTGGCGGACACTGTTGTGGTCCAGCGACGGGGGTGGGGGCGCCCCTTGGTACCCCGCCGTGGTTGCCGCGGGAGCGCCGCTTCCTACCTTCTCCCCTCTGCTCGACAGGGCTCCTTCCATGTCGGCTTTGAGGTGCACGGGGGGGGCGCCGTAAGGGAGGCGGCAGTGCATCTGGCCACACTGGACCTGGCCTGCAAAGGAGACGGCAGCTGTGGGTCCGGGGGCAGGAACTGACAAGCATCCCCCGGGGCGCAAGCACAGAGGGGCTGTCTGCAGGGGGCACAGGCTGGAAGGGGGTCTGGGGGCAGAATTGGCACGCCTCCTTTCTGCCGCTCAGTCGAACGACAGTATTTCTCCCTGCGTCTGGGCCTCATCCTGCCCTGGGGACTGCGGTGCTCGGGTCTGGCCCCGACGATCTGCAGCCCTCTGCTCCAGTAGGAAAGGGGGCTTCTCACAGTGCCCCAGAAGAGACCAGTCCGGGCAGAAAATAAAGGTCGGCCTGCAGAACCAGCCTCCCAGAGGAGCTCAGCTGCAGGCTGGGGGGGACCCTCAGCTTCTAGCCTTTCACACCGTTTTTGTTCCTTTTTCTCCCCCAGGTGGTCTCCCATCCACTTTCACTGGAATAATCCCGCCCCGCGATCCCGGCATGACTCCTAAGGGTGGCCAGCATTACCCCCAAGGCCGAGCCCCCCATCCAGACTCCGATCAGACTCTCCCGCTCAAGCACCCCCCCCCACTTACTCTCTATGTAGCTGTGGAGGGTCACCATCCTGGCCCGCTCGGGACCGCTGAAAGGGGAGTAGTGGAGGTCCTCCGGCAGCACGGAAGGGATGCGGGACTGGGAGCCCCCCGAGGGAGGCACTGTGTGTTGAGGGGTGTGTTTTTTATGCCGCGCTCTGCAGTTCTGAAACCAAACCTGGAAAAAGAGGCAGGCTTTGAGAGGGGCACCCCAATGTTTTTCATGGGGACCCCCCTGGCAATTATCTTATTTTCCCTCCATTGAGCACCTTTGGGGAGGCTGAGAAAACAAAGCCTGCACAAAATCTTCCTTTGTGAGACGAAATGGAGGAGCCGCTGGGGAGGAGGACCAGCAGGGCGTGCAGGACGAGGAAGCGTCTGGAAACCAGAGGAGCTGGTGGCCACCTCTAGTCCTGGGGAAAGGGCGGGCTGGAGCAGATGAGACTATCCCACAGATAAACCCGTCCAGGCCAATCCAACATTTAGGAGAACTTCTGCAGTGTGGCCCTCTGAGGCCTGTGCTGTTCAGACTTCAGCGGAGGACCCCAAACTTGGGCACGCGCTCTGTCCCAGGGCAAGCAACCCGCCCTGGCACAGCCAGAGTGAGGTTCCCTGCGCTGCGAGAGACGCCACACACGGGTTTTTCTCGCTCTCGGGGAAATATTAGTTACAACCTCTCCCAGTCTTCAGGACTCGAAGTTCAGGGCTCGCTTCGTGCGCTTGCTGGACAGCTGGACCGGCTCTTCCTCAGAGTCCTAGCTCCCGGTCACTGTCCCAAGGCCCCCTCTTGCTCTGGGCATTCCTGCTCTGCTCTGCTCCGCAGTCCTTTCACTTCCCTCGCTGCAGTTGGACTGTTGCGCAGCATCCCGCGACTGCCACTTCCATCCCGCTCTGGACCGGTTCCTGAAGGGCCCCGGAGCCAGAACGAGTCAAGAGGGGGGTGGGTCCAGGTCTCCCGGGGGTCCCTCACCTGAATAACTCTCCTGCTGAGTCCGGTCATGTCCGCCAGCTTCTGCAGAGTCTGAGCGTCTGGATTGTTATCCTGAGCGAATTGGGCTTGCATGACCTGCACGGAGGGCGAGGTGCAGGGTGAGCGGGACCCCTCCCGGCATGTGGCGTCCCACCCGCTCCCCGGGCCCCCCAGCTCTCTACCTGCAGCTGCTCTGCTGTAAAGGAGGTCCGGGCTCTCTTAGCTGGCTTCGGCTGGCTGTCTTGCTCGGAGGGGACAGCCCCTTCTAGCGTGATGCCGTTCCCTGCAAGAGAAAGGGGGATGAGCGGAGACCCACGGGGGCGGGGGGGGCACAACAGGCCACACCGCTGGGCTTGACTCATCTCCCGGCTGGCGCTTACGGGAACGCAAGTCCGCCATCGGCTGAAGCTGGGCTGCTGCGGAAAGAGGAAAGGAAACGCTGGCTCTGGGGACTTCCTGGTGCGAACAGCCGCCCAGACGGACCCCTCCTGGCACAGACAGGCTTCAGACACGCTCGGGGGCCTCGCCAAGGCGCCTTTCTTTGGCTCTCTGGGGCTGGGTTTCAAAGGGACTTGTCTCTCTCCTGTTCGTGCAGTTGTTTTCGCCTTCCTTTGTGAAAAGGGCTCCCCATGCCGCCTCGCCTGGCGTTCACGAGCAGGCAGGTGAGCGCAAGGAATGCGATGTCAGGAACACCAAGCTTTCAGTTTGGGGCCAAACCCCGTTCAGAAGCACTGGGAAGGAGGAACGGGGGGCGCCCACAGCACCCCCTTCTCAGGGCAGCAGGGCTGCCCCAGGGCACATTCTGATCCTCCCCCTCCAACCACAAGTTTCCCCCCACCACGGGGCCGTCTCTTGGGACCCGTTTCCAGGAACCGACACTCTTCCATCTGTCCCACCCAGACTGCAGCTTCATGGCACGGCTTCTTTCCCAGGAAACGGCGGACCTCCGTCTCCCAGGCAGAGCCCATCGCGGGTAACCACGGATATAGGTCACTCAGTTCCTTCCTCCCGGCTACCCTCATTAGTAATTTATTTGGGTGTTTCCTGGTATTTTTCCCAGGGTCCACCGTTATGACTTTAATGGGGAAAACAGAAGTGCGGGGAGAGTATTTTCTGCTGAGACTTGCTTCTTTGCCGGCCCCCCACCTGACGTCCAGCAAAAACCAGCTCAGTGAGAGGGATTCTGCGGACCTCCCAGAGCCCTTGCGCCCGGGCAGGACCAGTCGGGCAGCTTGAGCCACATGTGCTGCGGGGGGGGGGACACGCAAGGCCTAGGCACTGAGGGGACAGCCACCAGTGTGGGAACCCACCAGCCGTGGCATTCAGGCGCTGCTCGCCCTCTCAAGGGGCTCGGGTGGGAGGCAAGACTCGGGACGTGATTATCTTGGCCCACGTTGAAGGCATTCTCTTTCCTTTTCTTGTTTAGCAGGGTGACTCGCTGCTTTGGGATGATTAATGGAAGTCAGCCTCAGCAACATCTGTTTATTTTCCTTTCCTTGGAAAACCCGCGCAGGCAAAATCACTTTGCAATCCCCAGAGGAAGGCTTAGGCTCCGAGGGCGCTGCCGATTTCGCCTTGGCGTCCCCTCCCAGGGGTCAGCAGGAAAGAGTGCGGGCCATGCCGCTCGGCTGCCACCTGGCCTCTGCCCGTCACTGCCCTCCAAGTTGACACGGTGCCCTTCGGGGAACTCCTGGCATCCAGAGCCCAGAGGAAGCGCCGGGGGGGGAGGGCTGCCTTGCACCGAGGTCCGGCTCCAGCACAAGGGGGCAGGCGGTGGGGGGGACCCCCGTTTCCCATCCAGGCAGGCTTGGCCTTGGAGGAAGAGATGCAGAAGCCCACTTTGGAGGCACCGGACCAGGCTGGGTTGGAGCCCAAACGAGGAGCAGGCTGATCTCAACAGCAACCTCAGTTCTTCTTCAGCAAAATGGGTTTCAAAGGGAACCAGGAGAGCATCAGAATATTTGGAAGAAATGCTTTTTTTTAATCTCTCTCTCCGATATTTAAACATGAAATACAAACGTTAGCTCCCCGCGTCTCAGAGGGAGAACCAGAACACCAGTCGAGGCCAGCCAGAGGCAAGCGAAACGCCAGCAGCGCCTCCGAGCACGTGGATAGCGCACTCCCAATACTGCTGAAGTCCCCTTCTTGCTGGTGTTCCGGTTTATTCAGAAATGACCAACTTCCTTTTTTTTTTTAAAGAGGAATGGGCGACGAGCTTGGAAAGGCCCTTCCTGCCTCTAGTACAATAAGATCTTGAAACTCCACCAGGCCAGCGCAGAAAGCCTTCGCCCGAGTCTTCACGGGCTCGAAGGCTGTGACTCTGGGGACGCCTGAAGCCCGTCCTGCGGCTCACGAGGGCTGGAGAGAGAGCATGGCTGTGAGCGCCCCCGTTTTGACTCATGGCTAGCCAAACCACGGCCTGCTCCGACTGTCTGATCATCTCCCACCAGCCTCCTCAAGGAATCCAGCCCCAGAAAGCAAGCCATCGCAGCTGCAAACGATCCTCTGCACTGCCCCCAAGATCCGCAAACCCTCGGGGGAAGCTGCTCGATCAAAGATCCTTTTGGGGCTTTGCACGGCAGCCCGAGCCAGACTCCCGGGTAGGACGAAGGGCTGCAGTTTCTCCTCACGGGCCCCGAGCGACCGATTCCCTTTCTGCATCTGAACACGAGCAAACCATTCGGCCATTGCCGGCCCTCCGAGAATCTCTGATGGTTGGAACATCAGAGCAGCCTTACTGGCCAAGGGCCACCGAATCCGCCTTTGGATCTCCCAGGGCTGACCAGCCGCATTCATGCAAGACCGAGAGCCCCAAAAGGTCCTGTTAGCATTTATCTGCTGACCTCTAAGGGCCGGGAAAGGGCCGTCCCCTCCCAGAAGAACTGCCGGTGAGAAAACACCACCCCGAAGCACTCGTGGAAACCTCTCTGTGGCTGGAAGACCTGGAGAGCTCTCCTCCCCGGGCCACACGGCTGTCTGTCGCTTGCCACCCACTTAACCAGCCCCCTTGCTTACCCCTTCGCTTCTGGCCTCCGAGCTAGGTCGCCTGCACCCCCCTGCACAGACAGGAGGTCAAGGGGGATCCCATTCACTCATGCAGGGCCACCCAGAAGGCTCCTGCAGCCCAGAAAGCCTCTGAACCCGGGTCCAGGCTCAAGCCTAACCCGCTGCCAGGCCACACTGGCCAGGAGGATGCGCCGCGACCCAGCGGCTCAGGCGCCCAGCCTCCCGCCCCAGCCCGCCTTGGCATCTTGTTTTCATTTTGTTTTCATCTCCTTGCTTAAACCTTGTAAACAGAAACATTGATTATTTTCATTTTCAGATTTCCCCTCCTTCTTCGACTGCCCCTTTTCCAAAATCGTTTCCATCTGCTGCGCAAGAGGGCCCATGTGCTCTCCCTCCCTCTGTCTCTCTCTCTCTTGCATTTGCTCAGAAAAAGAGAGAGAGAGAGAGAGAAAAATCAAAGGACTTTTTAACACTTGAGCAAAGTTCTGTCTCTCGGGAGTCACACGCGTGTTCATCTGAGAAAAGGGAGGAAAGAGCCACGGCTGGCGCAGACAGTCATGTCAACCCTGAGCCGAACCTGTTCTTTTCTCTGCCTCTTCGTCAAAAAGTGGGAAAACCTGGGAAAGAGGATTTGGGGCATCTTATGACGCCGACGGTACCCCTTCCAAGCAGCCACGCTCATGAAGAGTCTAGGTCTGGCCTACGGTTTCTGGGGAGAGCAATTCAAGGATAAATCCAGTCTATGCTCTAGCCAAGAGGCGGATTACAGGCAGCCAAGACCGGGCTTTGCCTCCAGACGTTGTGGGGCAGTTGAGTGGAGCCCCCTTGTGGCTGCTACGTTGCGGTGCTTAGTCGCTATTTTATAGTCCGGATTTTATGTTTAAATATTGTACCTGTTTTAATGGGATATGGTTTGGGGTTTGGTTTGAGATTTGGTTTATTGTTGGTTTTTGTGCTGTAGGCTGCCCAGAGTCACGCTGTTTGAGTTGGGGAGGGGGTCTTATATAAATCTGGTTCATAGTAGATGAATAAATAAGTCACAAGCATGCTGGGCCAGTTTTAATTCCTACCCGAGGACCCCCCCACCGCCTCCCCGGACAATAGGCTGAAACGCAGTTGTGCATCAAGACTGGTTCAAAAGAGAAAGGCGCTCTGAAAGAAGAGACGCTCAAATAAAAGGGCAGAGGGCACGCCACAGATGAGGAAAACACGCAGCCACGTCTGTGTGGCTAAAGATCAGAGTCAAGGTTAGTGTTCTATGAGCACGAGGACTTTCCTGAAACCACGGACTTTCCTCCATTGACAAGGAACCCAGACAGAAGTCAGAAGGCCGCAGGACTTGGCTGACCCTCCCAAGAGCGAGCCCCAAGCTTTGGCTGACTCATTCATAAGAGCGCTAACCCCAGGGCCTTAAAAAGCCCCCCAAAATAAGGGCCTCCTCTGCTGCTTCTACAGAAGCTGCTGTCCCAGATGCCACCAGTTCCCCTGCCAACTTCCCCTCTAACACACCGTCACCAAGGAAGATCTCCATTTTGCCTCCTGGATCCAGTCAGAAGTGAAGATTCGCAAGTCTTCTCAACTGGGCGGACACCACCCTTTCCATATCATCCCACTTGGCTACTGGGGTCCTTTGCACATCTTGAACTCATCAGAGGAGACCGGTCAGCGAATCTCCATCCTGCCAGCTTTGCCAAGAAGCCATGTTTGCTTCTTGGCATTTTTAAATCGTTTGGATTTTGGCAAGCGCCAAGCAGCCCGCATCCAATACTTTGAGCTCTTGTCTGCTTTCTCGGATCCTAAAGGCACATCAACCATCCCGTACGGAAACCCATTCAAAATCAAAAGTGGGGAATTCCTGCCAAGCATTAAGAGAGCGCCTGGCAGTTCCTGTTTCTCTCGCACCATTGACTGTGAGAAGCTGGATGGAGAGGTTTCTTCCCCAGAAAGGCATCTTATGTGTGGCCTAATTCAAGCAGATGTGGGGGAAGGAAAGGTTGGGGAGTCTGCCCTCCTTCTCCCGTCAGGACTGCATGGAGGGCATTACCCAGTCCTGCTTTGTGGCCACACCAGGAGGGGGGCATCCAGGGGAAGGAGTCACTTTCCGCTTGCGCAACGGAGGGCGAGTCGAAGGGTCCACGTACCGTTCTCCGCCGCGCGTTTCAGGTTCTCCACCATGGTGTCGTAGTGAATCCGACAGAGGACCTTCTCCTCCACCAGGCCAAATTCTTCTCCGGTGGAAAGCTGCCTTTTGCAAGAGAAGCAGGCAAAGCAGGCCAAGTGGTAGGCGTTGCCCCGAGCCCTTCGGACCCAGTCACTGGCGTAGATCTGCCTCCCGCAGCGAGCACATTTGGTACCAAACCGACTGAAAAGGAGAGGAGAAAGAGGATCGCTTTGACTCTGCAACATCGGGGACATCTTTTTTTCCCTTCTATCGCGACCACTGCCTGCTGTCTTCCGACCTTCTGCCCCCCATACAGAAATGGCAGACCCCCAGAGCATCCGCGTGGCAGTGCCTGCAAAAGCTCAGAACAGCAGAGACCCAGCACTCTAGATCCCAACGTTTGACCCGTCCAAACGTTGCAGTCATCACTAGCTTGCAGAAAGCTGGTTTGTACCACGACGCGGATCCCTTTAAGGGCCATTCTGAAAACAAGTATTATGCTAACACGGTGGACTTCAGGGAGGGGGCAGCAGGCATGCTAGTTAAACCTGCCCCCAGTCAGATTCCCTAAGCAGCCCGTGCAACGACACAGGCTGAAATCACAGGGGATTGCGACAAAGGACTTCCTGGGATACTTATATAGAAGATAGTTATTTTCTTGCAAGGAGGATCATTTCCTTCCTGGTACAAAATTTCCTTCTCTTCCCTTTCATTAAAACGTGAAGGCGGACAGATTCTGGCTGAAGGTGTCTATTTGCTAACCAGCCTTTTTGCACGATGCATCAAGGAATAAAATTGGGTGGCTCACCCTCCTCACTTAGGTGCACATCCTCTGTGGTCCTGCCCCTTTCCCCAAATTCCGCAGGGATGCCCAGCTCTGAACAGCCCCCCTCTCCCCCTTCTTTGCAGAAGGCTGCTTTCTATAGACCTCCTTATTTGGAAGAAGTCTCTCAATTCCAAGGAAAGAGAGACCTGAGGGAAGGGAGGCCCTGCGCAGTATGCTCTTTGGCTCACTTGTCTGAGTCATCGCAAGCTGTCTGGAAGCACAGCACACCCAGCCACAGGCAGCCGTGTGAGGCTGGGCAGAAGATGCTGCGGACTGAGCACCTTCTGACACTCCCCCCCACCGGCCAACTTTCTGAATCTTTGCGCAAGCCGAGCCAGAGCAGAGCGGAGCAGACCCCGGGTCCTTGCGGGAGGAATTAACAAGAAACAAGTGACTACAAGCTCTCAGGATTCAGCTCCAAAAAATACAGCTGGCTTCTGGCAAACCACCCTGTCTCTGGCAGCATTTTCACCAAAGACGGGGAAGGGGAGAACTCACGAGGCCCCAAACCACAGTCAGCAGCAAGCCACTGAAATTGGTCCTGGAGAACATCACCTGAGCTGGCACCTATCTGATCCTCCATCCTTTTGGCCCAAGTGATACAGAACAACTTTAAAACACACACACACACACACAAATAAAAGGGTTTTCTGTCGGAGCAGACCCAATGCTGGTGTTTTTTTAATTTTTGATTTTTCTTCTGAGGGCGGTGGAGGCAGAAAAAGGGAGGGACCAGACGAGGTTTTGCTAATTTCTTGCATATGGGGAATGTAGTGAGCCCAGTTGTGTGATGCTTGGTTTACATGACTGCACAAACAAAGAGCCGTGTTAATTAATTTTTCATTCCTGCAACAGATTGGGAAAAGTGCAGATCCTTGTAAACGGAATAGCCGCTCTTTCAGACTGCATCAAAGACGAGAGAAAAAAAATTCTGTTAAATCTATATCGCTTATTTCTATGCCGTACCTATATCTTAACTAGCAGTTGCCGAGGTTCTCGATTAATAGGTTTCAATCAATTGACTGATTACAGCTGATGTTCATTACAGAGGACACGTTTTTATCCAATTACTTAACGATGTCTTTCTGCATCCTCTGTTTCAGACTAGCCTTTTAAAACACTCTTCCTTTTTTCAACAGCAGTTTAGACTAATACCTTTGCGCAAATATTTAACAAAGAATTCTATTTTCATAAAACTTGTCCTGTATGGACAAAGCCATTTAGAGCACTTAAAAAAAAATTAAAGCACTTTGAAGAATCATTAAGTACAAGGGAAAAAACGAAGCAAAACAAAACGGCAGATGCCAGAGAAACCAAGATAAAATTGTCACAGTAATCAGATGGATTATTATTTAATGTTTCTTAAAATGGGGTGTGCTAAAAATCATTTTATCAGGTCTGTGTTTGACTCTAAAGAAGCGTTAGGATCTGTTCTCTCAGCCCAAACAAGGTTGAGCAGCAGGACGTCCAAGGCGACAGGCCATCCAAGTCACACAGTCTAACTGCCGTCCCTGAAATTCTCCCGCGGCGGCGTTCGCTGGGCAGATTTATCTAGACAACAATAGCGAAACAGTCCTGCTGTTTAGCAGGATCAGTCCTGATCAGGTTTAAATTAGCGCTCCGCACTTAAATTTGGCACCACGCTAAATCAAGACGCATTTCATTTAAACAAAAGCCTCTAGAACCTGTTTTTAACGCCAGGACTTAGCGTGGAACAGGAGAAGCTGCGGTAAAAGGGAAGAAAAGCCTTTAAAAATGGCTGGGGCCCCAGGGTCCACTGAGGCCTTCCCAGCCAGGGGGAGGAGGGAGAAAGCAGCCCCAGATTTTAAGCCATCCTCCCCCCTCCTTGCTTTATAGGGCTGTGATTCAGGCGAAAGGATTTGTTTTGGGGGGGCTACTAGTTCCTCCTCTCTACCTAGAATGGCTCCACTTTCTCACACAAAAACAATGCTGATATTTGCACGAACTCATATGCTCCCACCTCTGCCACCCCACGGAACACCTTCCATTTAAAAATCTCTGTTCTGTTTCTCTGTCCCATGACATGTATATCCCCCAAGCTGCACTAAATTAATCTTTCTCCTCGGTCTGCCAGCGCTCCAAAAGTCCTGTTCTCTTATCTTATCTATCCAATGCTGGAAATTATCCTTGAGGCAAGGGAAAGAATTCCCTTCCTTTGGTTTTTTTTTTTTTTTAAATGTGAATATAAAAAAGCTAAGATAGGAAATGTGGCCATCAATTAGCTGACTGTAACATGAATACCTCCTACACTAAGAAGAAATTCCACTGTCCCAGCTGGGTCTCCATAAATGAGTACAGGATAGTGACCACACGGTAAATCCTCTAGGTGCAATTGCTCACAAGCACGACTGCTTTCCCTCAATTTCTATTGTCGCCTCTCAGTGAACAGCCTTGCACAGAACTACCCTGTCAATCCATCATCGGAGACCCAAAATACACCTCAGCCAAGACCCAAAACACAAAGAAATATTTTGCGTTCCAAAGTCTTTCAGAAACCAGCTGTCCTCAGACAAAAATGCGCCCAACATTTCTAGAAACAATGAGAGCAAACTCAGGAGGTCACGTTATTTGCCAGTACTCTGAATGTCATAATTATATATTGGTTTTAGATCACGTATTACCAAACCTGATCAAAACCAGCAAGAGCTGATTCATTCAAAGGAGGTGTTCAAGGAATCAAGCCGAAGTGGGGGCTAATGAAGCCCCTTCCTCAGTCCTAGAGACAGCTCTGTGGACCTGAAACCTTGCCCGGGGAACAGACCTACTCACCACACACGCTGCACCTGTGAAACCAGACTTCTCTTCTCCCAACCTCCGAATGGTTTTATTTTATTGGCTAAAGGTCCGCGTCAAACTGCCACCTAATCCTCACTGTCACCACCACCACCACCACCATCGTTATCATCCACAGTCAGAATCTTGCATTTTCACTCTGTCTTCCAACGGCAGCTGACATCACAGAGCATTTCCTCCGATTTTACAGGCAGAAATCTGATCCAGGAATTAATCCTCTGTCCCCATTCTTACCCATCCTAACATCCAACACGCGATATGGCAAATATGGCACGTTTCCCCCTCTTTGGCATTTTCGCTTCCCTTTTCAATTGTTTACATGGGGAGGGAATTAAAAAACTGAAACTAGAAACCACAAAAAAATGGGGGGGGGGAAGAGAGGCAAACTTTTTGAAGGTACCGCAGGGTGACTGCTAATATTAGAAATAATCTCTAGCCTTTCATCATTAACGCCCGGAGTTCCTTCTGCAGAGCGCAAGGGAGTCTTCAAATCTGGAGAATGAAGCGAGGCTGGAGAGACCGTTCATGCACTCAAAGCCCACAGACGGGCAGCTCCCTTGCCAGCCTTCAGACGCTCGCTCGCTCCGCAGCATCTTCCCAGCCTGCCAGAGGAGTGAAGGGCAGCGCCAGAGGCTCGGTAGGGCTCCTTCTGGAAAACCCTACTGGCCCGGAGAAGGTGGAGAGAACAGAAGCCAACATTCCCACAAGGTTTTAAGATGGAGTAGGGTTTTCTCAGTGCTATGTAATATGCCCTGGGGTTCCTGGCTTAGAAATGTCAAGGGATGACGTGGAAGGGCTCAGCCGGTAAGAGCCGGGCAGACCAAAGCAGAGCTTGTCAAGAGCCAGGGGAGAAGGGAGAAGGCCCCGGCCTGGATTTGGCTTCACACTTCCTGTTTGGAGCTCTCCCACTGGGTGTCCCGGGCGGCACCTTGGTTGAAAGCCCCAAGGCTCGCCCTGCACCCCACCCGAGTTGGTCCCTTTCCAGATATCACCACCAGACACGCAACAAATGGCTGGGTCCCCTCCCCTCCCCTCCCCTCCCCTCCCCT